AACACTTAGATACCGTTTCATTTGAAATTCACATACACGTAAGTGCACTTAGCTGCGTAATATTACCATCACTATGCAAATTCTCATTAGTACTTCATTTTCAATGAACTACAGGAGGGAATGTAGAAGCGAATTGTGTTGCCTCAGGTCATCGTGACCTTAAGCTCACAATAATAGAGAACAAAGAGCAAGCAGTTTTGGAGCCAGGTACACATTTTGGCAATAACAATGGCAGGAAACATGTGTTCGCAGGCGATAAGCCGAGTACAAGCCTTGAAAAACAACATCATTAGGCCCACTCGCACGCAATCCGGTCACGAGCCAAGAACTTCCAGGAAATGTTATCAGAGCGTCCAGTCGTGCACATACATCCACACAGTGCAATGTTGAAACTATATAAACGCCCAGATTTGAATGGGAGTTGAGAAAAAGCCAGATGTGTTCTGTTGAAAATGTTCAGCGCTGTGTTACGTGTACTGAGGACAGCATGTCAATTTTGATCTTTGAAATAAACGCTTCTTCTCCCGTCCTGGGGCAATCAGATGATCAACTGAAGGTGTCCTGATTTTTGATTTTCTATCATTGAAAACCACCACAATTTCTCTAAAGCTGCTAGGTAGATCCTTTTCTATCACCCATAGATCTATGTTGTTCCACAGCTCTGAACATAGAGAAAGGAGTCATGTTTCTAATGACCTGAACTCATCCATTCTGTTTTAACAAGGATCAGAGGTTAGCCAAGGATCTCAGATTGATTTCAGGAGGATTTTCCTTTGAATTTCTGTCTTTAACATCCTGATCAGATCCGATGATCAGCAAGTCTGGGGAGGAATTGGTTTTATGAGTTGGGATCTCAGGGTTTTTCTGCTGTCAGTGAGTTTCCTGCTGCAGAGAGGATCGTTGCTGAAGGGTTGATCCACCTGCAGACCTGGGAATAATTTCACAATCAGGCTGACTGCTGTGTAAATAGGAAGAAGCAGGATGATCAGATCTCAGATCCAGTGGTAGCCCCAGCCAAGATCTGACAAAGAAGTCTCTGTGGTGAAGATGCGTCTTTTCCCTTTAATGTGAAATCTGCCATTTTTAGGAAGTTGGTCGTTAATCTTCATGTGTGCCACTGTTGTCCATCACTTGCCTGCCTGTTGTCCAGAGATCAACCCTCAGAGGTCTCCCACTGACTCTCCCCTGTGAGTGCAGTCTACAGAACCCTCCTTCACCTGATTTATACTTCCTCCTCTTCCTTAATCAATTAGTGGCCTGCCATTGTTTCTCATCAGTCTGTCTTTTTTCCCCTTAGACCAACCAGAAGGCAGATAACTAACTGACTTTCTTAACATTTTGTAAATAAACTCTAAAATCTCACCACTACTTTGTCCGACTCTGCATGTGGGTCAAGACGCTACTAACCAACATGGCCACCTGTGACGGTGATTCTTGGTTTGAGTCTGAGCAGGAAAAGACCATCTGGAATCAATTGCTCCCTATTGTTCCTGGCAATGAGGTGGATTTTGAAAAAAAAAAAAAAATGTTCACAAAAATCACCTACTTTTGCAAAATCATCAGTTGTGTAGGCAATGTAACCATCTGAATGGACTTCAAATGGGGCGTGGCCAATCATCTCTACAGTGCTTCCAATACTTAGCCAAGCCAACTGGTTTAACAGGCTTTTGAAGTTTCAGACACAAACAGCCAATGAGGAAATATATCTCATGGCTGCAGTTTAAAAATTAGGAGCATCAGCAAATCAGCAGAATGATAAAAAGGGGTCCCTATGTCCTCCAGCAGTCTAAGCCTATAGCAGCATAACTATAGAGATAGCTCAGGATAACCTGAGCCACCCTAACTATAAGCTTTATCGAAAAGGAAAGTTTTAAGCCTAGCCTTAAAAGTAGACTGGGTGTCTGCCTCACGGACTAAAACTGGTAGTTGGTTCCACAGGAGAGGAGCCTGATAACTAAAAGATCTGCCTCCCATTCTACTTTAGAAATTCTAGGAACCACTAGTAAACCTGCAGATTGAGAGCGAAGTGCTCTGTTAGGAACATAAGGAACAATCAGATCTCTGATATCAGATGGAGCTTGGCCATTTAAGGCTTTATATGTGAGAAGGAGGATTTTAAATTCTATTCTGGATTTAAAAGGAAGCCAATGAAGAGAAGCCAGGATAGGAGAGATATGATCTCTCTTTTTCATTTTCATCAGATCTCTGGCTGCAGCATTTTGGATCAGCTGAAGGCTTTTAACTACAGATTGTGGACTTCCTGATAGTAAAGAGAGAAATTGTTCAGACAGTTTTGTCCACTAGACAACATGTTTCATGAGTGTAGGTTGTAGTTTTTGCGTCACATTTGCAGATGTGTGATTGGTTCTAACCTGATGAAGCTGACGCTGTTAACCCCATCTTTGGAATCGACTTGTAGCAGCTCTTTAACGGCATGTATATGTCCTATCATTCTGGATGGTCAGGCTAACAGCCTCATATAATTAGACATGAACTTTTAGATAAAGAAGAAACTAAGAAACAGCACTTCCACTAATATTAGCACTATTAGCATATTAATTTGCCAAGACAGCTGTTAAATTGAGGTCCATAGAATTTAGTCCCCAGTGGAGCTGCTGAGGAGCAGGACAGGGTTTGAATTCTCATTTTTCTAAGTATGGAGGCAGCATGACTGTCCACGGAACCCTGGATGCTGTCAGTCTATCTGCCTCCTGTGACAGACAGTGCTGCAGTTTGGGTTCTGCCCCCGCCTGTTTTTGTCAGTTACTCCCAAGGTGGACTCACAGCCAGAGCATTGCCGGCTGCTGCTGGTAGGCTAAATGTCAGCGAGTGAACATCCTGCTCCATATTCAGGAGATGTCCTGGAATATTTGCTGATTAGGCAAGTCCTCCACAATTCAGTTAAGAACCACCAGCTTTCAGCGCAGGGGGGATAAAGGATAATCCATGGGCAGGTGTAGATAAATGGATGCTTTCCAAACTGTCTTATAGCATGCACACAATTCAATTCAATTCATTTTATTTATATAGTGCCAATTCACAACACATATCATCTCTAGGCACTTTACAGTTTAACCAGATCAGCAAGTCAAATTGATTAAAAATTTTCTATCTAAGGAAAACCAGTTGATTGCATTGACTCAAATACAATCCCTCACACTAAGCATGCTTGTAGCGACAGTGGAGAGGAAAAACTCCCTTTGAACAGGAAGAAACCTCCAGCAGAACCAGGCTCAGTGTGAGCGGCCATCTGCTGAGGCCGACTGGGGTTCAAGGAGACAGAAGCAGAGATAGAAAAAGCAGCTGCAAAAAGTGGCTCAGGATAACCTGAGCCACTCTAACTATAAGCTTTATCAAAAAGGAAAGTTTTAAGCCTAGCCTTAAAAGTAGACAGGGTGTCTGCCTCACGGACTAAAACTGGTAGTTCACAATCTGACTTCCACTGACTTGATTGGATTGTAAGGATTGGACCATAAGAAAGGCTTCTTATTGGATTAGGAAATACTTAAAAATAACCCTTAAATAAAATAATCTGTAATTTTAGATGTTACAGTATCTCATGCCTGTTAGAATCAATTGCAACAGTAATCTATCACCGTTGTCAAGCAAAAAAAAATATTTTTTATATAGCTATATAGATAGATAGATAGATATATCAATCTGCTCAAAGGAAGGTCAGTTTTGTAGCTTCTATAACGAGCTAAACTGCTTTCAGATTTGTGAACATGATTGCACAAGGGTTTTCTAATCATCAATTAGCCTTCTGAGCCAATGAGCAAACACATTGTACCATTAGAACACTAGAGTGATAGTTGCTGGAAATGGGCCTCTATACACCTATGTAGATATTGCACCAAAAACCAGAAATTTGCAGCTAGAATAGTCATTTACCACATTAGCAATATATAGAGTGTATTTCTTTAAAGATAGATATATATATATATATATATATATATATATATATATATATATATATATATATATATATATATATATATATATATATATATATATATATATATATATATATATATATATATATATATATAGCAGGGAAGCAGGATAAAGCCTTAGCCTCGTTACATGCAGTTAGCCTAGACTTGGAGCTAAACCACACGAGTGAACCGTCTCCACCTGTCTTTGGACTGATGATTAATTTTGATGTTCAGCTGATCAGGTCCAAACTGTTTCACCTCCAGCTTCTCTTAGTTTGCTTCTCTCCTGCGACTCAACCTGTCAATCACCTGCATTACGACTGTGATGTCACTTCCGGTCACCTGAGGGCGTAGCTTTGGTGCGCCCAGAGCTCTCCTATCCTTCTGTAGTGCAGAGTAGCTACTGCACATGGACAAATTTTAACAAGAGACAATGGGCAAAAATTTTTAACACACTAGGGCAAAAATTCGTCACCAGTCTGACAAAAAATGAAATGAAGCTTTACTCGCCATTAATGTTTCAATATTTATCTTGCACATCTAAAATATATATTTCAATATATTTCGATATATATTAACAGTGATGGGAGTAACGCGTTTTGAAAGTGACAGCGTAACTAACGCTGTTATCTTTTAGTAACGAGTAATCCAACTAACTACTTTGACTGTAACTATAACGCAGTTACCATTGCAGACACCCTGTTAATGCACGTTATTCAGTTCGCTCGATTAACCTTTTTTTCATGATGGGACTCGTGCGCGCCTTGTCATCAGAGAGGGGAGGGTGAGATTGGCTGATGTATAGTGAGATTCCATCTGTCAGTTGGGTAGGTGGGTGTTTCTGCTGGTGGGTGTTAACGTACAGCACACACAGAGAGATGGAGAGTGAGGAGGACTCCAGCAGCAAAACAGCGTTTTCCAGATGGAAATACCGGTGTTACGTCGAGCTGCGTTTCCCCATCAGATACGGTTTCCTCTGCATCTCCGTACAGCGCAGGCGGCACGATTCACCGTGCAAGCGACAGGAAACGCGCATGCTCACTAAAGGCGCGTAACAGCCGCCCTGTGCTCGCGCCACAGGGGAACTATGGATCAGATAGCGTTCCCCCCTGATGTAATTTACATTGACTTCCAATAAATGCAAAACTCTCTGCAGGTTCTTGTCTTTGTCATCCACTCTATTCAGCCTCAACTGCCTGCTTCAAAATCAATGAGAGAAAAACTATTTTTCATGTTGAATAAGGGTGAAGGTTCTACCTGTCAATCTAAATAGTTCTATTCCTTTGCTAAATCATAGATATTCCTACATTAGCTGTGTGAGTGAGATAGGAAAATAAAACACATCTATTCTGAGTGAGTCTGATTTCCATTATAAGGCTCTCCTAGAAATCCGTTAGAAGGAATAAAATACCTGGAAGGAATCTGAGGGAAGCTCTCCTCCTGGCTTCCACATAGATAATAATAAATTAGATCCACCATATGCTGAACTGGCTTCAGAGACGCTCTGAGATTTCTATATTTATACATCATTTAGCCCAGTTAAAAATAGAAAAATATGTCTGGATGTCTCAGGATCGTCCACATCCTGAGATGTGGACGATGTCTGGAAGAAATTACATTTCACATTTCAGAGTGACTTTCTGTTCCCATGAAAACATTAATGTTTGCGTGAATGAAATGCATACTGTAGCTTAGCTTAGGGCTATAGCATCAATTTCTCTAACTCTTATGGTAATAATTGTTTTTTAAATATTTGTTTTTTCAAATTTTTTTTCTTTCTTTTTTCAGTTTGAGACTACCCTTTCCTGGGCTGCCACCTTATCATGGTGGAGTGGTTTTAGTGTCCCAGTGACCCTAGGAGCTATGCTGTCAGCAGGTTTATGATCCTAGTAGAGTCACCCAAGGCGGACAGGTCCCAGGGATCAGACAAAGACCAGCCCAGAGACCCTTATGATGAATGCAATAAGTAGACCTAGTGTTCCCTCGCCTGGACGTGGGTCCCCTGGGCCCCACTCTGGAGCCAGGACTGGAGGTGGGGCACGCTGGAGAGTGCCTCGTGGCCGGGCTTTTACATGGGTCCCCCTTCAAATAGGCTCACCACCTGTAGGAGGGGCCAAAGGGTTTGGGTGCATTGTGTGATGGGTGGCAGTCGAGGGCGCGGACCTTGGCCTTCTGATCCTTGGCTGAAGAAGCAGCTGGAAGGAGTATGAGTTAGTGCGCGAGGTTGAAAGCTTCCGGCTAGAGATAGTTGCCTTGATGCATTCAGATTCAGTTCAGATTATCCACCCTCTTTGGAGTTCTTAGGGGGGGTACTGGAGAAGGCCCCTCCAGGGGACTCCCTTGTTCTTCCGGGGGACTTCAACATCCATGTGGGCAATGACAGTGAGACCTGGGGGGTGTGGCTGGGAGGAATGGCCCACTTAACCTGAATTTGTATGGTGTTCTGTTGTTGGACTTCTGTTCCTGTCATGGATTGTCCATAACAAACACCATGTTCAAGCATAAGGGTGTCCATATGTGCTCTGGGCACCAGGACACCCTAGGCCGTAGTTCAATGATCGACTTTGTTGTTGTTTCATCTGACCTGTGGCCGCATGTCTTGGACACTCAGGTGAAGAGAGGGGTGGAGCTCTCGACTGACCACTACCTGGTGGTGAGTTGGCTCCGATGGTGGGGGAGGACGTCGGTCAGACCTGATAGGCCCAAACGTTTTGTGAGGGTTTGCTGGGAACGTCTGGCAGAGTCTGCGATAGATGGAGAATAAACTCCCACCTCCGGATATGAATTCATTTTTTTAAATGAATTTGGGCTCTAAGGCAATGATAGTTTTAATGAGGCACAAGCAGCGACAAAGGCAGGCAGGAAAACACAGACACTCCAATAATGATCATTGAACAGCAGCTTAGAAAATACTTACATCTGATCTTCTATTAATCGGGAAACAGGCCTGACTGTTGGCAGCTAATCAATAAGGATATACTAATAATGCACATTATAAATATAAGGATGGAGCCTATAAAGGAATGTTATTATTTATGAGACTAATTTTTAACACACTGACTGTTGAAAAACAAAGAAAAAAAAAGGTTTTCAACAGATGAGGCTGTTCTTTGCCTGCTTTTGTCTGAATCAGTTATGTTCTACACTCTGCTCCCATCACAGCAAAAAAAACAACCGAGGAGCATCAGGTGCGTCTTCATCTATTAGTATTAGTTAGTGTTAGTTAGGCTGTTTGTGGGATTATTACTTTAAAAGCTGCATATTTTTACTACATTTATGGTTTATTATGATTGCAGGTTTAATTACATCTACAGGTTTTACAAGGAGACTGAAAATTGTTGTCTTGATATTCCTCCATAATACAACAGGAGTGTGGCAAACTCACCTTCTCTGCTGACTGCGCCGTGCCGAAGAAGATGGGGATGAAAGCCAGCCAGATGATGCAGGTGGTGTACATGGTGAATCCAATGGGTTTGGCCTCGTTAAATGTCTCAGGCACACTGCGAGTCTTGATGGCATAAACAGTGCATGTGACCATTAAGAGGATGCTGTATCCCAGTGAGCAGATGAGTGACAGATCAGAGATGTCACACTTTAGGACGCCGCGTGCATTCCCAGGGTCCAACGTGCGCTGCTCTCCATAGTCCACAAAGGTGTGAGGCGGGTCAGCAGCAAACCATACAAGGACACCCAGGAGCTGAAGTGAGATGAGAGAGGAAGTTATGATGAGCTGGGAGGCTGGTGAGATAAAGCGAGGTGCCGTCACAGCTTTCTTTCCCTGCTCGAAGATGCGGTGGATGCGGTTGGTCTTGGTTAGCAGAGCGGCATTGCTGAAACACATGCCGAGGCCCAGGAAGATCCGGCGCAAAGAGCAGACTGCAAGATCAGGGGCGGCGATCATGGGAAAGGTAACGACGTAGCACAAGAATATACCCGTCAACAAAACGTAGCTCATCTCTCTGCCCGAGGCACGAACAATGGGGGTGTCGTTGTAACGGATGAATGTCACAATGACGAAAGTTGTTGCAATAATCCCCAAAACAGCGATGAACACAGGCACGAGGGCCCAGGGCGAGTGCCACTCCAGCTTGATTATAGGTATCGGCTGGCAGCCCGTCCGGTTCTGGTTCGGTCTCATTTCATAGGAGCAGAGTTCACAGGTGAACTCGGTGGCCTGGTAGTGGTACCCCTCGCACGCCTCACAGTGCCAGCAACACAGGACACCCTTCACTACCTTCTTCCTCTCACCCGTCCGACACGGGAAGCTGCACACAGAGGCGGGAATAAAGGAGTCATCGGTCAGCCACTGCAGGGCATCCATCTGATGGGAGACAGAGGAGAAGAAAGCAGCTTGATTAACATTCAACGGTGAAAGAATCAGCTTTCTAGACAGGAAAGAGTCCAGGTCACTGCAGGACGGGAAGTTTCTTTTACCCTGAGGACTGGGAGCATCTCTTGGCCTTCTCTGATTGTTTGGATTATTACCTTTATTCAGCTTCATTAATCGGACGATTTCAAACAGAGTCACAACAGACTAAACTAGAGGTAATGTTATTTGCTTTGGTTTGAATCTTATGGTTTTGTTTCGGATAACTGGAAGAAGTTGATTTATCTTATTTGATTTTTAATCTCGGTAAACATATAAACAGCTGAACAGCACATGTCTAAAACATGATGGTTTCTACCCCCTAAAGGTCAGGTTCATTAACTCTAATAAATTTTAGATAATACTTCTGAATTAACGAGAATAAATATATCTGTAAAATATTTAGTCATGTATTCAAAACTGTAGTAAAGGATCATATCTCACAGGAGCTTATACAAATTTAGTTATTAACTCAGTTGATGACTTTTTTTTTATTATTTTTACAACCAAAAATAAGGTCAGGTTCATCAAATAAATCATATTTCTTCATTTTTTCTCAAAATGATCTAAACTCTTAGTGTCTGAAGCGAAGATTCTCTGCCAGGGAGCCCAGACTTGACACAGCATAAAAGGAGTAAGAGCAAACTATCCTGAAACAACCTTATAAATATTAACAACCTAATTATTTTATTGCATCTCAGAAATTTGACATTTCGATTGAAGTATAGAAAAGATGCGGGATATCTGATGCTGTAAATACTTCTTATATAAAACAGCAAATGTTCATATTTTAAATCCCTTCACATTATTTCACAGAAACACACTGAAACAAAAGCCTCAATATTTTAGGCTGAAACGGAGATCAAAGGGAGTTTTGGAGGGAAATCTTTAGCTGATTGAACGTCTTACTTTATTCAGTGGTCTGATCCTCTCTGTGTTTGGAAAATCTGTGGAAAGGAAAGTCTTTGGAATTCAGCAGGTTGAATTAAATCCATTTGAATCATCTGGTTTCCAGGAGCCGCGGCTCTAAACATCACATCTTTCCTCCCAGTGGAAGAGAAGTTTATTGATGTTTCAGCATCAGGCCCTCCAGACTGGGATAATACTTCCATTTCTTAACCGCAGCTGAACACATGAACTAAAGCACAAAGAAAACCATGAAGAGCCAAGAGCTGCTGCAGGAAAAAGCAAAACCATGTTCTGCATTTTCATCACATTATTATAAGAACAGTACTCTTCTAGACATTAAATCCAAGTTTGCATAAAACTTCAACAGCTTAAATTATTAGCTCTCAGAGTAAATGGTTTAGGTTTCAGAGAAGCTGACATCAGGACTTTTGAATATTTTACAAGTAATAATGTGGAAAAGTTGACCGTTCAGTACCACGGACAGCACCTGACAGAATCACACAGGACGACTGCTTAACAAACGTGACGTTTCCTGACCTCCCCGGCCAGAGATGTTTCAGACAGATAAAAATCTGCTGATGTTGGTGGAGGTGAGAGACGCCAACTGTACAAAGGCCCATTCCTGGTTTTACACATATTATAGTTTGTTTTTTTCTTCTAAAAATAAATGAATCTCATTACTTGGTGGAGTTTTAAAGTAGCTGCTATAAAACTGAAGTAGGGTTCAATCACATTTGATCTTTTGAGAAATACATGACTAAATACAAAAGTTTAATTATAAGAGATTTGTATAATCTCATAGAAAGAAATATCAGTGTATTAATTCTGTGCTCATCTTGAAGTTGACCTTTTAGATAAAACAGTTTAACGTGGCTCTGAGAGCAACATTTTTAGGATTTCTTTCAAACCTCTTTCTTTTTTTAGACCCAGTTTGGACTTAATGTCTAAGACCTGCAGTTAGAGAGAGCCAGATTCAAAGACCAAAATGATTTGTTCTGCCATTATCATTTATATATAAATGATAATGGCAGAACAAATCTAATCTATAATATAATAAAAATAAGCATTTGAACATCCTGCTGTTTTGCAAATTCTCCCACTTACTATATATATAATAATAATAATAATAATAATACATTTTATTTAACAGCGCCTTTCTTGACACTCAAGGTCACTTTACAAATAATACAAAAAAAATAAATAAAAAGAGATGAAAATACAAAATACAGATACAGGAACATAAAAAACAAAAAAAACAAAAAAACAATCATGGATAGGGAAAAGAGCAGTATATCACAAATAAGCGAGCTGGAACAGATGGGTTTTGAGTCTGGCTTTGAATAAGGGGAGAGAGTCAATACTGCGGAGGTCGGGAGGAAGTGAGTTCCAGAGCTGGGGAGCAGAGCGGCTGAAGGCTCTGCTCCCCATGGTGACAAGTCGAGCTGGGGGTACAGTGAGGTGGATGGAGGAGGAGGATCTAAGGGAGCGGGAGGAGGTGGCAATGTGAAGGAGGTCTGACAGATATGGAGGAGCAAGGTTATGGATGGCTTTGAAAGTATAGAGAAGGATTTTAAATTGAATTCTGAATTGAACTGGGAGCCAATGGAGTTGGTGAAAAACAGGGGAAATATGATGGAAGGAGGGGGTTCTGGTGATGACACGAGCAGCAGAGTTCTGAAGAAGTTGAAGTTTATGGAGAGATTTATGAGGGAGGCCAAAAAGAAGAGAATTGCAATAATCAATACGGGAGGTGATGAGGCTGTGGATAAGGACAGAGGCAGTATGAGTGGTGAGGGAGGAACGGAGACGGTTAATGTTACGAAGGTGGAAGTATGCAGACCTGGTAATTTTATTTATGTGAGACTGAAAGGAGAGGGAGGAGTCGAGGATGACACCCAGACTCTTGACCTGAGGGGAGGGGGAGACTAAGGAGTTGTCAATGGGTAGTGAGAAACTTTTGATTTTAGATAGGGTGGATTTAGTGGCAACGAGGAGGAGTTCTGTTTTATCACTGTTTAGTTTAAGGAAGTTTGAGGTGAACCAGTCTTTAATTTCAAGTAGGCAGTTAGTAAGGGACAAGGGGGGGAGTGAGGAAGTGGGTTTACTGGATAAATAAAGCTGGGTGTCATCCGCATAACAGTGAAAGTGAATGTTGAATTTCCGGAAAATACTGCCAAGGGGAAGAAGGTAGGTGATGAAGAGGAGGGGGCCAAGAACTGAGCCTTGAGGAACACCAGAAGTGACAGGGGAAGGGTGCGAAGTGAAAGATTTGAGCTGAATAAACTGAGTGCGGTCGGAGAGATATGAGCGGAACCAGTCAAGAGGGATGTGAGAGATGCCAAGAGAGGATAATCTATTGAGGAGAATGGGATGAGAAATGGTATCAAAGGCTGCACTGAGATCGAGAAGGATGAGGATGGAGAGGAGTCCGGAGTCAGCAGCTATAAGGAGATCGTTTGTGATTTTTATTAGAGCAGTTTCAGTACTATGAGAGGGGCGAAAACCAGACTGGAAAGGCTCGTAAAGACTGTTGAGGGTAAGAAAGGTGTGGAGTTGAGCAGACACAGTTTTTTCAAGTATTTTAGAGATAAAGGGAAGATTAGAAATGGGACGAAGATTATTAAAGTTAGTGGGATCAGAACCAGGTTTTTTCAGAATCGGGGAGACAGATGCAGTTTTGAAAAGTGAAGGTACAATACCAGAAGAGAGTGAGGAATGAATAATGGAAGTAATGAAGGGGAGGAGGGAGGTAAGACAGGTTTTGACCAGAGCTGTTGGGAGGGGGTCAAGAGAACAGGTAGAGGACTTGGATTTTTGAATGAGGTCAGAAATTTCAGAAGAAGTGGGCAGTAGGAAGGAGGAAAATGACTGGCTACGGGGGAGGGGCGGAGGGGAAGTGGGAGGCAAGGTGGTCATATGTAATTGCTGGTGAATGGAGCAGATTTTTTCATTAAAGAAGGTTGACAAAGAATTACAGGTCTGAGTAGAATACATGTAAGAAGGCAGGGTATCAGGGGGGTCAAAGATCTTATGCATTATGGAAAAGAGAGACTTGGAATTTCCATCATTGGAGCAGATAAGGTGAGAATAGTAATTTGATTTAGTAATGGCTATTGAATTTGAATATTGAAGTAGATGAGTTTTATGCATTTCTTTGTGTATGGAGAGACCAGTTTTTTTGTGGAGGCGTTCCAGTTGCCGACCTTTGGCTTTCATGAGGCGGAGCTCAGGAGTAAACCAAGGGGCAGAGCGGGAAAAGGATACAGACCGGGTTTTGAGAGGGGCAAGGGAATTGAGAATATTGGAAAGTCCAGAGTTGTAGTGTGTGACAAGGTGGTCCGGAGAGGAAAGAGCAGGGATTGGGATATTGTCAATGTGGGAGGATAAAATGTCTGTGTTTATGTTCTTAATATTGCGGAAGGAAATCTGACGGACAGGCTTGATTATGGAGAGAGACAGGGAAACGTTGAAGGATAAAAGAAAGTGATCTGAAATATGGACATCATCAGCAGAACAGTTAGATGGGATTAAACCAGAGCAGCAAATCAAGTCCAGCGAATGTCCTTTTATATGGGTGGGAAAATCAACATACTGATGAAATCCAGAACTGTCCAGGTAGGAGGAAAAGTCTCTGGTGAGTGAAAGGTTTACAATGTCCATATGGATATTGAAATCACCGAGGAGAATGACATTAGGAGAGAGAGTAGTCAGGTGGGTAAGTAGTATGGATAATTAATTTAAAAAGTCACAATGTGGTTTGGGGGGACGGTAGACTATGGAAATAAATATTGGAGTAGGACCAGGCAGTTCAAATGCAAAGCATTCCATAGAGCGGAAAACAGGAATAGAAACAGGCAACAACTTCCACTTCTCGCGATGAAGTAACGCGAGACCTCCCCCGCGACCGGAAACACGAGGAAGAGAGTGGTAAACAAACCCAGGTGGAGAGGAGGCGTTGAGCTGGGAGAAGTCTTTAGGTTGTTGCCACGTCTCCATGAGGCAGAGGAAGTCCAACTTACGGTCATTGATGAGATCCTGGATGAGCT